TTGGAAAAAAGTAGTAGATTTTTGCAGGTTGTGTGTTGTCTTCCTACAAAAAACCGTGAGCTAAAATTAATATATTTTTCCCGTGTTATAATACACTATTATTTTGAAAAATCGGGAAGTATTAACTTCTTCCCGTGTGATAAAAGTAATTAATGAAAACCTGTCAATAGAGATGACTTTTCGAACTTCTTTCCCGTCACAGAAAAAAAAATAGTTATTTATTATACAAGGGAAAAAAGTAGTAGATTTGTGTTGTCTCCCGACGCGTAGCGGAGGGAGACAACAAACCGTGAGCTAAAATCTAATATTTTTCCCGTGTATAATACACTATTTTTTTCTGTGACAGAAGAAAGGACAAATCAATATTGAGAAGATATTACATTATTTTGAAATCTGAAAATTATCGACGTGAAATTTAAAGTTTTTAACAGTAGGGACACCGCGTTGTAGGCATCTTTATCATTCATTTGAAGTAATCAAATATCTGATGTCACTTCTGTCAGTCTAATTTTGTGATTTTATTTCAAGAAATTGCGAATTCAGTGGTTATTTAGCAATATACGTAACCGCGAAGTCGAATGGAAGATAAAAGGACTTGCAGTTCTTTCTGGGGGACGGTATTATTGACTCATCTCTCGGAACTATAGCACAACAAAAGCCATCAACAGTGTATATATATGTGATATATATCCGGGAAAAAAGTACTCACTTTTTTCCCACGGGAAAAAAGTAATTTATGAAAAGTGACATTTTATAACCTGCCAACAGGGATGAAATGCCAAACTTTTTTCCCGTCACAGAAAAAAATAACTATCATACCATTCTCGACCTTAGACAGTTTGAAAATGTTCGTAATTATTCCGACTTGATCATCCTGAATGACTGGCTTACCAGGCGTACAATGATATTTAATCATGTTTAAAATGATTCATATGGCGATGCAATACCAACTGAAATCGCATATTCATTACAAAATACCCCCTGCTCCATGTTGAAGAACCAAGCTCGTAATTCCTTCAGATACAAGCGTGGGATAATCATCAATCGTGATCAACTGGTTTTTTCCACCTAATGTATATAATTAATTTATTTACATGAGCTTTACGATAAAAGATTTCATGAAAGGTCAATTTCCTATAGGAGTAAAGTACTAATAAGGTTGATGTGTAAACACGGAAGCCAGAGAAAATGGGTAATTTTAGGGTTAGTCGCCTTATTGGGGAATTATGTAAAAACGAATCATTAATCAATGTCTCGGTGGCCACAATGAGCCATCGAAGCGATCCTTATCAATCTCTTTTAATAGTTCGGAATAATATCCTGAACGATTACCATAATCGTCCCAGATCGTTCAGATAGAACATACTTTGCTGTCTTGGCACCAATTTTTGTTGGGGAAGGAATAACTAAAATTTGTAATCTCCTGAGAAATCTATTTTTCTATTTCAACAATTTTGAAGATTCATGATATTTGGCATCTTAAAATGGTAATTTACCCGCAACAAGTCCGCAAAATGCTGTTCGTTTTTTGGACAGAAAAGTGCTACTTTCTTGGGAACAAATCGAGGAAAATCCGGGAGAATCCAGGAAAATCTTCCGGAAACTAGGTAGTTTCCGAGCGGTCGCCAAAAAACGTAATTTGCTGCGAGAGAACATAATCATCTCTGTCGAGTATACAGGGTGTTATTCAATGTATGTAGCCAAAGTTCAAAGGACGATTTTTTGTATTTGCATAGTTTCCAAGATACAAAGTCTCAAACTCATTTTTGAAAATTGGTTTTTCGTCGACCTCAACAAGAAATCACATTTTACGTTCTAATTTCCTAAAAAAAAACGACTATATCTGAAGGCAAGTACTTTTCGTCGGTAGACACAAACTTTTTGTCCGCTGTAGGGTTGCCAGATCTGAATTTTCAGTAGATCTCCTGATTTGCATATCGACCATTCTAGAACACGTGATTTTGACATGGTTTCTTGAGGGGCACACAAACTATCTGTTAGGTTACCTTTGACTAGCCCTGGCTATCCCTGCTACATCCACAATATAATAACAGTTTCATCAAACAAAATTATGAAATTCTTTCTGGTTCCAACTCGGATCGCAAGGAAAACGACCCCACTATCCCACTAATTCTGGTTTTATATGACAAATCTTGACAAAATACAATGTTGCCCCTCAGCAACCTGTCAAATGACGTAATTCTGTAATGATTAATTGATCTACTGATCTACACCTAATGATTATTATAATTTTCAATATTATTATTGAGTTATTATTATTATAAAGTTAAAAACATACACTTATAAATTGCATGATATTTCGGCACGCTCTGTTTAAATTAATTTTACAAAATGATAAATAAACCAAAAATGGACTATACTATCTGATTCAGATCAAATTCAATTTTTTATATACTTCTGTTATAACAGTTTGTTTCTCACGTTTAATTTTTTTATTTGTTTTGTATTTTCGTTGTTGATATTCACGATTCGTTCCTTTACGATATTTCCGAACACCCCTGAAAACGTTGTATTGTTAGACCTTAGTCTAGACCTATGTTTACATAAACTTTTCGAGGTATAATTACCTGAATAATCACTGGATCTCCCTATTTTTGTTATATGTCGTCAACACCGAAGAATACGGATATCACGAAATTAGTTGACTAGAATATTGCGAACGGCAAATTTTATCAACTAAGTTCCCAATGCAAATGAATGCGCATTCAGAATGAATTGGAAAAACACTGGGCAATTATTCAAATAGGTACGTATTGCCATTTCGGATAATACGTTCGCGATAAACGCTGGGGTTATGTGATATAACTACAAATTCAGTCAATGTATATTTTGGACATCCGAGACAGGGCCATCCAAAAACCAAGCGGCAAATAATATATTATGTTGATGAAAAGTGTCCGTCACTCGCATAATCTAACTTTTGATGATCAAACATTTATTGCATGTTTGAATTGTTTAAATCAACTTGAATTTGACCTTGAAGGTGCATGACTTGTAATCTGAAGTGCTCAAAAAACAGGTGAGCCACTCGAATTTGTTATACTGTCAAAGTTGCCCTATCAAATATGTTTCCAGTCATCACGCACACCAAGAATTAATAAGTTGAGGTGGTTTCTCAGAATTATGTTTTCTGAATCACCGAGTCAATATCTCGAAATTTTTTTGAAATTTCTGACGTTTCTCTATTCTAATATTTTCAGGAATATTGTCTATGCCCTATGCCACAGATGAGATTTTGATTTTCAATGTTTCGAATTCATTCTCAATTTTTTTTTTGGAAAAAGCGCATAACCATCTAATGAGCTGAAATGAACAGTTTTAGAGATATTTGATTCGAAACTCCAATCAAATATTTGATAGGAGAAAAGTTGTTTATTTTGACGAGATCAACGCGTTTTAGTATACGTGAATAATCAATAATTCTAAAAAAATAGCAGTACAGAAGTTAACAGAAGCACAGATTAAAATTTTCTTTGCTGAACTTCAAAACTTTCAGATACGAAATTGATGAATTCACGTGAGATGTTCAAAAAGATTGCCATTACTTTCTAAGCATGAAAATAACATCTTCTTACTGTTGAATTCAAAACAGTTTCCTGACATATCTCAAGAGAAAAAACTCTGGTGGGGTCACATCGGGCGAACGAGCTGGCCAGGGCGTGCTAATCATTCTTATTGTGAATTTGAGTGAGAGATAATCCAGGGCTTCCTCCATAGTCACTAGTGGGTCAAATAACTATTTCTGTTTCTACACTCCTCCCAGAAATTACGTGTAATAACGCACCACCAAAAAGTAGGCAAATATTTGAATTCCATTTTTGTCAAAATTACTTGTCCGATTTGAATCTTTTTTATTTTGAATGACAGGTTATTTCATTTGAACATTGGTGTGTAAACTGTTTTCGCATAAAAACCCCTTTTCTATGCATACCGGGTGCAGAAATCATAGCGTGTTTTTTTCATGAAATCTGTAATATCCTGTAGAGTGTAATAGTTACCATATCAATTTGGAATTGAAATTACACTTTAGCCTCATCTTTCTCCAACATGTATTTCTTGGATTCACGCCATTATCTTTCCAATTACTATAGTTATTGGAAAGATTACGTTCCTCTTATAATCCTGTTCCAAGAATGTTCCAAAGATTTTCAATTTTTCAATGGGATTTGAATCCGAACTCCGAGCTGGTAGCGATACCGACTTCCTCTAGAGATAATTCCTCTTGATAATTTGACGTGAGGCCTGACATTGGCTTGCATAAAAAAAACCTTGAATCATTTATGTGGTTCTAAAATCTCCAATGTGTACCTATCAGCTGTAAGGCTTCCATCTTCCATTTATGATCACAGGTTCCGTGCGATCGTGCGATCAGACCATAGCCTGCTACTTTTGTGCTTATAATACTAATTGAATCGAATAAAATCATGTAATGCTTCAAAATTATGTTTTTTAGAGTTATAGGAAAGATAATGGAGTGAATCCAGAAAAGAAATGTCGAAAAAAGATAAGGCTAAAGTGCGATTACAATCATAAAAAAAGGTTTATATGCGAATTCAGTTTGCATGCCATCAATATTTAGAAAGAGATAAGCTGTCATTCAAAACAAAGAAACGTTCAAATCGGACAAGTAGTTTTGACAAAAATGCATCTCAGACTTTTGGATACTTTTTGGTGGTGCGTTAATTTTTTGGGGAAGTTTATTTCCTGATTTCATGTTTCATAACCTTAGATGATATTTTGATATTTTACTTCTTGAATTACAATAGATTTTTTATATTAGCTCATTTTTAATTGAAACGTTCCTTTTTTATGTTTTAATGCACTTACGTTACTACTGTTAGATTTAAAAAATATATTGAGTTTCCAGGATCTAAGTTTGATTTCGAAACGTGTCCCTTTCCGAAAATTGGAACCCCTATTAATCACAGAAACCTCACCATATCCCCCTTCGAAAAAGAATAAAGAAAACAATGTCTCACCTGCTCGTAGGGATTGCGGTGCCTGTCCCTTCCCCCTCCAATACCCCCTATGGGCGGTCCCTTGGCCGGCACCACCCCGTTCGACCGGTGACTCGTCGTGCCGCTGCCGTGCTTCACAGGCTGCCCCGGATAGCCGCCCCTGCCCCCGTGCGGCGGCTTGCCCTCCGCCAGCTTCACGTACCCGCCGCGCTGCTGCTGCTGCGCGGGGGCGGGGTAGGGCGGGTGGGCGTGGCCTGGGTGGCCTGGGGGCGGGTGCTGGTGTTGGTGCTGGTGGGGTTTCTTGAATTCGGGCCGCGTGTCGGGAGGCGGTTGAAGCCTGGAAGGTAGAGTATTGAAGAAGGATGTTCTCAGATATGAAGGGTGTTTCATAGATAATTATATAGCACGCTGTAGATAGGACACTTATATGGGCGTATTGTGATCCCATATTCAGTTTCTTCCAAACCGACAGAGTGCGCTGAGTAATATTAAACCACAGAAATTCGGGCGTGGTGAAGTTTTGTTTATTTTCTCGTGTTGTTTGTTGTGGTTGTGAGTCGAAGAGCTTGTTTTAATATTCCAAATTTGATCTTTAATAGTGAATAGTGATTTCAGAATTCTTCTTTGAACCATAGACAATTCTACAGTTTGGACGTGGTTTGTGTGTTGTGATGGTGGCTATTCACTGTACAGAACATGTGTGTTGGGGTTCTGCGGAATGTAAACACCGTTTTCAAAATCCAAATAATGACATAAACCGATTTATGAAATGGCTCTGACGTTGTGGCAATAAAAATTTTCTCTCGATGGACTATTCGAAAATTTTCAATAACTGTAGAGTTGGAGCAAGCACTTCGAAAAAGCTGATTTTATATCCATTGGAAGATTGTGGCAGCTTTTACTTCCTGAGGCAATAAGTTCAGAAGGAGGTAGACATTGTTCCTGTCATTGAAATATTTCAATCACAACATTCAATAGTTAATGATGTTGAACCTTGCAGATCATGGAGTGAACCTCGAAGTGAACATAATGAAGGATGATAGTTCTGAAGAACCATCATGTTCCCTGGAGGCCTTTGAGTCAATTCCAAGTACCTCGAGAGTAGTAGAGCTGTTGGAAGAGGAATTGATATTAGAATCCAATTTTAACCTAGTTCCCCCAAAAAAAAAACATTCAAAATTTCAAGTGGTGTTCTCAGTACTGTTTTTTTTTTTCAAAAGATTTAGGTTATGTCTAAGTTATGTCCTTGCAAGTAAGGTCCGTAACCTCGTCGTTCGTGAACTATATTATCTGGGTAGGTGATCCGAGTCAGATTGCAGTAATCCGTCACGTGACCTCTCTGGATGGAGTTAGCGACCCAGAGTAAGTTTCCGAAAACGCCTATAGACAGGGTGTCACAAAAGTTAGGACGTTTACGACACGAAGTTTACGTTCATATGAAGTTTTATTCTTGAAATGTATACAAGGTGTCTCACTTCTAATGGAAGCACCCCTGTATCTTTACGTGATTGTTGCTTCAGGATTATGAAATTTGCAGGAGTGAGAGATGTACCAAAAATACACTCTTTGACCAGGTGGGATCATTTTCAGTGATATATAAACTGCTTGCCATCAGCCATGCAAGCTCCCAATTTCCGGCAAATGATATTGGGAGGCAAGATACGTTGAAAATCACTTTGCATTCGAAATTAGGACGTCTGAATCACTAACTATGAATATTTTTCCTGAAAATGTTTCGTTTCTGAAAGATTAAATGTTGTCTCACTTGTCATGAGAGCTCTACCGTATCTTACGAATTATTGACGTATGATTCTGAAATTTTCTGGAGAAAGGAAGAGTCCAAAGATACAGAAAAGATTAACTGAGATTATCATAAGTGATTTACAGTGCTCGTCAGCAGGTATAGAACTTCCACGTTGCTGCTATCGATATTTATGGTGAATACGCCACTGTTCCTTGAGTATCATATTTGTATCTGATTTTGTAATTGAAAATACAACTATCTTGGTCCCTCTGTTACTTTTGTTATCTCACTAAGTTTTTGGGGAATTAATGAAATTTTGATTTGACTACAAACTTTAATGTAGGCGCTGAAGACAATCATTGAGGTAAATCAAGAACCTCTATAATTATCATTGTGAAATTTTGAAATTCGTCTGTGACCAACCATTTTACCATCATGAATTCTTATACGGGGGGGTCATAAAGAAACAATTTTGTCCTAAAATATGATCAGGCACCTCCTTATTCATTCACACCTGGAAACGAAGAGAGAAACTCCCAAAAAACAGAGAAATTACGAGGATTATCGATAAAAAAACAACAACTAGGTAGGTAGGTTGAACACAGAAAAGAATGAGAAGGTAGAAATTGTATTTTTTTAAATATTATGTGATCCAATAACACCATTTTATTAATAGATAATTGGAGCATTTCTCACTCATTCCATTAAATATATCGTATTTTGAATATAAAATAAATTGCCTCTGATCTAATAATTGTTGTCATCGGTTGCCGCTCTACGATCAATGAATTCAATCGAGAGCCTATCAAGTCAATATTTCAGCGTGTTCTCCCCCCTTTTCAGCGACATCTGCTAACAATCGCCGACCATACTTGTTTCGTTTCTGTTTCTCCATTCTCCATCGTGTTTCTCTCGAAATTCGATATTTTGATAGCGTTCTCAGAAGAGAGACCGCGAAGCTCGCGACAACCATCATCAGAGATTTCTGCCGTCGATCGATGTGTTTTTGTTTTTCTTGACGCCACACTCGCCTACTCTATAATTAGAAACACCGTTCGCCGGAATACCTATACTACGAGAAAAATCTACAGAGCAGACTGTCTCTTCTCTAGACGACTGATGTATGTGCATTTTTCATTCGAAATCTGGGTTAGGTACTTACTGCATACTGTGATTTCTAATTGGGTAAACTGATATGCTACCTGTTTAGATATGTATAATTATTATCATCGTTTGACGGAGCTTCACAATTTACTGCCATGTATAGTCCAAGTTGGCGACTGTGATGTGATTGAATTTAATCAGTAGGTAGGTAGGATATGAGATTTCAGTGATATTGAATAAAAATTACTGAATTTGTTTGAATATAAATATAATATATATAAAATTTGGAATAGACTTCCCGGACTTCCCGAATAAAATCTGGGTGGAAAAAAAAAATTAGAATGGTTGATCCAATGGGTCTTTTAATAAAAAATTTAATGGTGTTAGAAAAATCCATTCAAAAACGGAAAATCCCAACAATTCTGGATAATCCAATAATCTGTCCCTTCATTCCTACACACCCTAAATTTAAGCAAATTATCCCTACATGTAGGGAATATCTCTTCGGGTTGGCATCACTGATAAAAATAGATAGACGCTGCGATTCATAGGATAAATGAATGAAATAGCGAATGTGTGTATGTTCATCAATAAATCAGCTATCACGTGTTGTAACATGATTGGTACGTCATTATGTAAAGTATTAGCAAGGCTATTCGATATTTTCAATATTTTAAACACGTTTATCAACAACAAAACCAAGCCGTCAAATAAGAAGTACACTGGACCAAGTTTCTACCACCCCCCCAATCTTAGGCGAGTTGGCAAATTGAGTTTGCATGGAAAAGTTTCACAAAAAAAAAGTTTCATGGTACTAGGAATTTCCAACATAAAAAACTAGAAATTTCGATATTATAATCGGAATTTACATTTACATGCGAAAGGAAATTACATTTCCAGTTCAAACTATATAGGAACTTCCGAGGAAACTTCCAACTGCAAACTCCAACTTTCCGACTGATGAGTAGAGAATTTAAGGTTTGAAGTCGAAAAAATTCCGAATTTTGAGTTGAAAATATTCAGTTTCAATTTGGGACAGGTTTTTAACCTGAAAATGAAATACTCTGTCTGTAAAAACCCAGGATTTCCAACTGTGTACTATCATTTTCCGACTCATAGAAAATTAATGACATTTTTGAGTTGGCAAAATGCACTTACTGCCACCCCAAAAATTTTCATTCGGTTCATCCCTGTTCACAATTTCTTTGAATGAATTAGTTTATCCCACTACTTAATCATAATGAATATTGAGTACAGTATTAGCATCATTCTCTATCTATCCATTCGCTGATTTTATAGAGAGATGCCTCGAGAGATGCTAACTTCTATACAAACAACAATTAGATAATCAAGAGGAGCAAATAATGATGAAAAATGTCGAGTATCTCGAAGCAACATTGTTATAGCAATTGAAAGTATGTACCTTACTCCTCGCAAATATTTACAGAACCAGCAATTATCCGTGATCGAGCCAATTAACGTGCTCAATTAAAACATTAAACAAAAAGTTTATGCCTCCACTAAATGCATTTGCATTCTGCGCTACCTGTTCTCTAGACTCGAGACATATCCTCTAGGTTGTCAGTCATTAGTAATAATTCAATTACACGCACATAAGGTACAATTATACTCGAACGTCATTGAGAGATAAGGATCTCTTTTAAACATTTCCAACCATATGAGGTTGCGGAAAAGAAGTAATTGCTTCAATTTCATACAATTGCATTGGTAATCGCAAGAACCAACTGGTGGTTCTTGGAATAACCATAGATAAACATTTTTTTTTTTTGAAAACTTCAAATATATAATAGTCTATTAATATTCAATTACAAAACTAAAACTATAATCACGAATTTTTCACCAATAGTTCGATGGAAAAAAGTAGGCCGATTTGCCTTATCTTGATCTTAACCCAGTACAACCAAAACTCGAATCACATGTTTTTAGAAATTCTATTGAGTTCTCAATATGTAACTAATTCATTACTAATTTATTGCCACATTGGCAAATTTATAATCCGTCATTAAACAGAAAAAACCAACGGCTCTGCTAGCTTTATGTCAACGTAGCAGAACCATAGCTTAACATTTATTTTATTGAAAACTTCAAATTATTTGAAGTTTAATAAAAATGAATGTTGACATAAAGCTAGCAGAGCCGTTAGTTTTTTTCTGTTAAATGAAGTGTTATAATGAGATCAAGATAGACAAATCGGCATTTTTTCCATCAAATGATGAGTAAATAATTCGTGATCATAGTTATGAGTTAGTAATAAAATAGTAATGAATTATAGTGTATTTGAAGTTTTCAAAATAATTAATTTTCAGCTATGGTTCTGCTAGGATGACATAAAGCTAGCAGAGCAGTTGGTTTTTTCTGTTTAATGGAGGGTAATTAATTTGAAAATATGGTAATGAATTAGTACTGAATTAGTAACAAATTATAGCACTATTGCAAATCTGAAATGTGGAAGTGGTCCTGCCTTAGTTTATTGGAGTTGCAATACGTAACTCAACAAGATATATATATTCGAAAACATTTTCGCGGAGACGCCTATCCAATTTTCAGAACTGATGTTTCAATTTTGAAAATGATGCCAACTCGAAAATGTCCGTGGTGACAAGCGTGTCCACATGAAATATTCGAAGCACTCTAGCTAGAACTAGCGATAAAATGGCTGAGTTGGCTGCAGCACTAAAATTATTGTTCTCGTACCTGCTGATAGGAACACCTTGGCCTGCCGCCCCCGGCGCCATCACGTGATGCCTCGATGAGGAGGTGGGAGGCGGCCCTCCCGGACTGGGAGGCACCCCATCGACGCCGATCAGGACGGTGTCCTTGTGGTCCAGCAGGTGGCGCACCTTCTCGAACGCGCCCAACTTGCTCTGGATCTGCTGTTTGACGGGATCAGAGGTCGAGGACGGATTCACCTGGAAATCACAAAATAAAAAACATAAAAAACTACGAAAAATGAAACTAGAACGAAATATTCCCGAAAATAATGGTTTTAGCATGTAAAGTAGCACGTTACCGCCCGGTTTTGCGGACGTAAAGTAGCGCTGCGGCTACTTTATCGCGAAGCGGCGGGCGATAGAGTTGTTGATCAGGCGCTAACCTGAATTTCACTTTTATACCAATGGAAATCTATATTCCGATAGTTTTCATTTATGCAGTAGTGGTCATTACGAGAAACCTATACAATAGGTATATCAACCACCATACCATACCCCGGGATATCTGTGAAACTAAGAATTTACAACAAAGGCAGGTCACTGTCAATGTGGACATCTTGCTGAAATCAAAGCCTGGAGAACCAATAATTCACCGCCAATAAAACCTCAAGCCTGTGTTTTCTCCAGAAAGGCGGAACGCAGTATGCCTGATATAAAAATGTCTGGTACCACCATTCCCACAATATCTATGCCCGGTATTTCCATCGGCAATAATCTTTCATGGGAAAATCACGAGGAAAATTATGTCCGATCCAACGCAAAAGCTAAAATTTGTTCTATCCGTCATTCGAAAACGCAAAAGCTGCTTCACAAAAACTCGGATTTTTATTCCGTGCGAATATCTGCTTTACACTAGACTTTACACCTCAACATCTCGTGATCTACAAAGCACCGATACGGCCAGTTTCAGAATACTGTTCTCACATATGGGGTTCAGCTGATGCTCTTAGATTCCATCCCGAGAACAACCATTCGCCTGGTGGGTGATGCCACACTCACTAACCCTTTAACCTCATTAGTACACCGTAGAAAAGTCGGCGACCTTTCACTTTTATAATAGATACCTCGGAAATATCTGCTATCATTCCATTACTATAGCAATACCAGTCAGACGAATTGTTTGCCATGACAATAAAAGTTTATGTATTTACCCCCGATAAATCAACTCCCCATAGAAAACACCATTTTACGATGACGTGAGTAATTTTTCCCTAGATGCAATTTTCCCATAGAAGATGATATGTCACTACTTTAATCAGCTTGTGAAATTAATTTGATTTGAATTGTAAAAATATATTCCATCTTCTAATTAAATACCGACGTACCCACCTTCGTTGTGCAAAACGTGCAATGCATAAAATGTAATGTCAGAATTAATGAAGGTAAAATCTAATTATATGCGGAATTATGATTCTATCTACAATATTATGAGATAATATTAAACTGGTCATTAAACATTAACGCTTCAATTAATAAGGCGCTCCTCTTTAAGGGAAGTCTTAAACCTATGCGTGAATTAAATAGAAAATACAACCCACGATCCGCTACCTCTAGTCCTTTAAATATTCAAGATATTAAATTCTAGACCAGAAGAAGAGATATCTATTCAATAGAGGAACACTACGAATGTAATGTTACTACAACTATATTTTAATTACACATAATATCGCATTTCTCGAAATGGGCAAAAATTAGTAGATAACCTTTTCCAATAACCTTGATGCCAGGCATAACATACGTTATTACAGCCATTAGTTGTTAAACAAACCGACAGTAATACGAAAATTTCCCAGCAATTAAAATCGGCAAAACGATACGACGATTTACCTACCTATACCCAAATAACACCATACACAGAAATTATATTTGTGACATCACGAGGTTGAAAGAGGTTGCGCGAAGTTTGGGAATCATCGATTTCATCATTTTTTATCAGGTGCAAACTCGTAAAATTTTCAATTTGAAGTAAACCCACTTTCATTGGCATAAAATATTTACGAAGGAAACTGTACAGCGGAGCTTTAAAGCTAATGATCGAAGTAACTTTTTTATTGTCTCCCAATTCGATTAAAACCTGACGTACCAATGTTGTCAATCAACAGAAAGCTTCGAAATACACATGGGATAATAGTCCAACAGACAGCTGCAATTCTGAGAAGAAAATTTCATATGAACGTATGACGTAAACGTCCTAACTTTTGAGATACAGGGTGGTAAAGTTCTCAAAAATTGATAGTTTTTCATTAATATCTGTAATACCACTTCAGATATTCTAATGAAGTTTGGCATACATGTACTATGTATCAAGAGGCATCAGTTAGTGTACCATATTTTTTTTGGTTGCCACCAGTGGCATTCGTATGGAATTTCACTAACCTATTTTGGCAGACATTGATGGTACGCCACTGATTAATCTCGAAATTGAAATCATTCCTGAAATTCCCAATCACGTCTAAGCAAATTTGATCACTACAATTTTTCAATCTGATGCACGGTTTTCGCTTAAAAAAAAAATTCAAAGCTTTTCACTGTATGAATATAGCAATATCGTTAATATGACAATATCACAATGCAGAGGAATAGATTTTATATTTTAGATCAAATATTTCAGAAATACAATTCATAGTTTATGGATTTCGTAGTCGAATTTGGTTTTTTGGAATTATTGTAGTAGACAATAATAATTTTTGAGAACTTTCCTGTATCTCAAAAGTAAGAACGTTTAGGTCATACGTTCATATGAAACTTTCTTCTTAGAATGGGCCCAAGAATCGCCTCCTCGAATATTACAATTATGAAACACCCTGTATGTTCCAAAGGCATGTAGAAAGATTGTATTTTATCGAACGGCACCTGAGCCAATCACTATCCTGAGCAAAATGAATGAAAAATTGCACTTTCCTGTGCGGCAATTCGCACTCAATTTCGTTATTTGGATGATGGAGATGAGATACTCAAGAAAGATAGATGGAAAAACGAAGCTGTACAAAATAAGGAACGGAACAATAAGAGAAAATCTGAAGCAGAAATCAATAACCAACAAAATAACGAAAATACAATTGAATTGGTATGGAGACATGATGAGGATGGAACCAGACAGAATAACGAAGAAGATACAGGAAGCACGAAGCATAACAAAGAAGAAGAAGGGAAGACCACGGAAGAAATGGATACAACAAATAACAGAGGCAGGAAGAAAAAGAGAGAAGTCGTTGAGAGAGATGAAGATACTGACAGAAAATAGGAAATCATGGAAACAATGGGTAAACGACACAACAGAAAATTAGCCAGATTCCGACGCCCAAGAGGGTAAAAGCTCGGGTAAAAGGAAAGGGAGAAAGAAAGAAGGAAAGATAACGAGATAAAATTATGCCATCCGATACAAATTGAATGGTAGATTTCAAAAACCTACCAGTGCCACACCTCAATCTAGCATTATTCCGGTCGTACTTCCGTCATGTGATAACGAGGTGAAATAAATAGTAAATTGAAGGGGTCAATGTCCCCTTTATGAATATCATCGTGAATATCCAAACGTGCCCCGATTCAAACTGATCTAGGATGGCAGAGCGTCAATATTTCCGAGAATATCTCGCCCCTTTCTAGGGATAATATCCGATGTACCAGTGTAAAACTCAATATGTGGATTGGAATACTTGTAGTGCGACCACCACGCGAGTTTTACACTATCGGATATTATCATTCGACGGGGGCGAAATATTCTCGAAAATATTGACGCTCTGCCACTAACTTAAAACATTTTTAATCGCGGCACGTTTGGATCTTCGCAAAGGGGACATTATACCCTTTCATTTACTTTCTGTTTCAACTCGGTATCACATGACGGAAGCATATCTGGAATGATGGCATTAAATAAATCGCTGTGCCGTTGATTTGGCTCGAAATAAGAGTCGGCACAGGTGGTTTTTGCGAGTTGAGATCTACCATTAAATTGGTATCAGATGGCATAATTATCATCTCATTATCAAATCGCGAAATTGAGTGCAACTTACCGCACAGGAAAGTGCAAGTTTGCAATAGGTCTGCTTAGGATGAAATACAATGTTTTGACATTTCTTTATCAGATGACGGTCGAAATTTGCAGCAGGCTTTCCTACTATAAGCGCTATTAACATACCTAAATGGCGGTGAGAACAAAATCTGTTCATGGAATCCGTTGGTACGTCAAATACTACGTACAATACGACTCGTGAAGTTGTGATTCATCTTTCCTTGTCAGGGTATTACCGATTCTATTTATATCTCGATAGAAATAGAGATAAATTGAGGATCGTTGGGAAGATGACCATGAGAAAATTATCTGGAGGATAATCAGCGATTATGAGAAATCAACCTGACAAGAATTGCGGAAGGTTTTAATGACTCAATCACAGTTGCACTCTATATGGAATTGAATAATATAAATATGGTAGCACATTAATATATCAAAACATACGTTGGTGAATGGTACAACATTAATAAGCGAGATGGGAAGTTGGTAATGCTATCATATATATAGCACTAGGTATATTTTATATTCTTGAACATCCCCAGATACAAGATTGTTGATATTTTTATCATAAAACCAGTGTTGATTGGATATTAATGCGGCAATTACCAGCTTCTACTACGATTCAATAATTCGGTCGTTAACAACAATATTGATTTATTTCTTGATTGTGACATATTGCGTCATAGGTGAAGATGATAAAAACAACAATAAAAATAATAATTCTTTGTGCGAAGAAAACGTGCAGTCATTGAATAATTTTTATTTACCGTTAGTGAACAATTTCCGTTTATTAACGAAGCGACACAATATGAAGTAGCCATTGTTGCCAAAGTCCCAAGTAGCACACTCATATTGGGCCGATATTGGACCAATATAGATGAAAAATTGGCGCAATATCGAGAAATCAAGTAGGCACAATATTGGATCCAAACATTCAACATGCTATTGTAGATCGATATTGATTCGATGTTTCATAAAAAGATTGTTTAATCATTCAACAAAATATCTGGAATAATATTGATTTATAATCATCCTACAATATTGATTTGTTGATATGAAAAAAACAATGAAGTGCGTTGATTGAGAATCATTCATCATCTCTATATATGTGACTGATGGCTCATCGATATTGACCAACAATATAGTAGGTTGAAGATGAGCAATATTCTTGGCATCACCACGTAGT